CCCTCCACCACACCATGCCACCGCCCTGCCCAGGCAGCCCTGGGCACAGGAGCCCACGGAGATGAGAGGCAGTGAGGAGACCTGGGGACACAGCTGTGGAGATGGGGAGAGAGGGTTACAGAGATGAAGAAAAATGCAGAGAAACGGAAAGACAGCCATCAAGACACAGGGAGGTGGGTCAAGCCCCACAAATCCCACAAGGACAAGGACAGGGATAAGAAAGGCCCACAGAGACAAGCAAGAGGACTTCAGAGACAAGGGACAGCTTATGGACACAGAGAGGCTCCTGAAGATGGGGACAGGCCAGACACAAAAGATAGGCCCACGCTATCACAGAGTCCTCCTTGGGCATGGGGAGCCGTCCACAGAAGAGCAACAGGAAGGCAGACCAGAGAAGAAGGGAGAAAGGGCCAAGAGATCTGGAGGAGATCACAGAAAAAAATGAGGTGAGGGTGGACCCGGGGACACCTGGAGCCCCACAGAGACAAGATGTGGCTCACAGACAGGACACCCATTGAGGCAGGAGTGGCTGGCCCATAGAGATTAGGGAAAAGCACCCAGAAATAGAAATAGCACCCAGTGAGCGGAAGGGTGGCAAATGTGGGAATTCTCCATACTGCATAGAGAGATCACTGGGACGCACGGGGACGTGTGAGGAGAGGAGAGCTTCATTCTCCAGTAACCGGAGCAGAGAGGCTGTGGGATTGGGGGACAATGCAAGGACAAGGAACTGAAGGAAGGGCCAAAGCTGGAAACTTCCTCCCTCCCAGGAAACGAACGTTCTGCTGCCTGAGGAGAGAAGCGGGGCAGCGGGGATGGAAGAGAAAATCTCAACACAGATCTTGGAGTGGGGGTGGGGGAGGTTTGGGGGAAAGGAACATGACAGTTGGTGCTGAAGGCTGAGCCCGTGACTCATCACCACCCCCATGCTCGTGATGGGGAGGACACACTGACACTCACGTGCAGCCCCCAGCACACGTGACCAAATGCCCTGCACACACACCTGGCACATGGCAACTCAGACCACACACGGGCCCTGGCACGAGGAGCCCTCTGCAGCTGGCATGTGGGGCATCCCCAACATACATGTGATACATATATCTGACCCTCAAGGGCCACTAACTTTGCACACAGCTCCTCACTAACTTGGGCAACACCTACAGCCTCCTAGCACCTCCTACAGCTCTAGCCAGGCCTGAGGCCCAGATTTATGCCCAACTCTACGCCCTTGCTTCTGCAGTCCCTAACATAGAACACCTATCCTCTCTAAATGCCACCTATCCCAGAAGTCCTGTTCCATTGTTACAACCCCCAACCTGTCTGGTCAGGCCTTGCTTTACTTACTCTTGTATCATCTGAAATGATTTCACCAATTCAAATAAATTGGGAAATCCAAGCAGAAGATCCTAGTCTAACAGACGGGAGCTTGAGAAGCTAAACTTGTCCCTCAGATTTTTCAAGTAGGGAAAAGGCCTCAACAGGAGCAAAAGCTTGCCCAAGTGCACAGAACCAATCCAAGGCTGAGCCCAGTTTCTACTTCTTTGGCTCCAACACCCAGTGTCATTTCCTTAAGGGTAAACCCAGAGTGCTTGAGTGCAGACAGGCCCTACTTTTAAGAGCTCAATAATTCCCACCAACTTCATGCTCTGATTGCCATGCATCCATTCAGAAAACAATTAGAGACCATCCCACCTGCTAGGCAAAGGAACCTAGGGGCCAAGGGTGCAGACCCTGGGTGGTATCAACTTCTGGGTTGGAATCCTGGCTCTGTTTCTTCCTGATTATAGGAACTTGGACAAGTTAGTTAACTTCTCTGGGCCTCAGTTTCTTTGTAAATGCAGGATAGTAGTTTTTTTCCTCAGAGAGTTGTTGAGAGGATTAAACTAAATAATGCATAGAAAGCACATCATAACATACTCAGGAAATGTCAGCTATTAATATTAGGCTCCTTGAGACATTAATAAAAAATACATAGCTTTTGTTCCATGCCTTGTAACCACCCTTTGAGACAGTGGCTGTTATATTACCCCCATTTCATAGATGAGGAAACCAAGGAAAAGGGGAGTTGCCTTGCTCAAGATCAGAGCTAGGCAGTGAAAGGGCCTGAACTGGCAGTCTAGTATAATCACATAGGTCTGGTGTTAGGGAGTTTAGTGGAAAGTTAGGACACCCAGTTAGAAGGTAACAAAGAAGAAAACAAAAGTGATTGGAGCCAGAGGTGGTGGAGCAGGACTGTAATCCCAGCAATTGAGAGGCTGAAGCAGGAGGATCGCCGTGAGTTCAAGACTATCCTGGGCTACCCAGTGAGTTCCAGGTCCGTCTCAACTAGTGAGACCCTGTCTCAAAACAAACAAACAAACAAGCCAACAGAGTGATTGAAAAGTCAAACCTAGATCTCAATGTGGGTGGCTTTTTAGTTAACTCTTTGCCTTCAAGTGGATAAACAACTGAAACTTTCCTCATCTGAGAAATGAGAGAAGAGGAAGGAGAGATTTGACCAAGTGCATTTTCTTTTCAACTCCCCTGTCCTTGGGGGTTCAGGAAGGAACTCTGAAAATGTAATCGTGATGGTTTTGGTTTGGGGATCTAAACCAGGGCCTTAGGGGCTTGTGACAGCTAGGCAAGCCTCAGCTTTTCTACACAGCCACACCCCCAGCCCTCTCTGAAAAATGTGTAATAGTGCTAGGCCGGAGCCCCTTGTACACACATGGCCCCATCCTCCCTGAGCTGTGGAAGGTCAGTCACTCTGACAGGGGTTCAGGAAGCAAAATTGTCTGCTACTGCGACGGGATTACTTCCTTCAGGCTCTCACTCGATTGTTTTCAGGTCCTCTCCTCGCATTTCTTGAATGAAACTTCCTGCTTTTCCTTTTTCATTTTCCATTTCCTCCCCTATCCTTTAGGTATTCCTCGTCCAGAGTCCTCGATTTCCTAACACCGTGTGTTCAACCCCTCCCCGAGCCCCGTTCCCGTGTTTTTGCTCCTCTTCTTGCCTTCTTCTCTCCTCTAATAAAATCAGTCTGATATCTCGGCTTTCAAGTTTACTCCCTTCCCGTAATTGATATCAGTTTCCCCCCATTTCTTCACTCTGGGTGGTGTTTCACTTTCTCTCTTTAGTCCTCAGGGGCTCCAGAGCTTCAATTCCCCTACTCCAGTCGTCGGGATAACGCACAACTCAATTTTCAACACTTTCCCCAACACCGATGCCAACTCCAGCCTGACGCCGCCAAGATGGCGCCCGAAGCCTCGTCCCGCCTCCTGACGTCACCGCGCTGCTCTCCGCTGTACGCTCTTCTCTCGAGCCGTCAGAGGCGGAGTCGAAGAAAGGATGGAAGAGGAACATCCTCCAGGGCTAAAGGGGCGGACACTATCAACCTAGGGTTGGCCAGTGAAGGAACGTCGCTAGAGTATTGGTTGGGCGCCGAGGGAGATCCAGGCCCTCTGCACTATTGGCCCAAACCTCAGAGATATGAGCGTCGATTGGCCGAACGGCAGGTGCCAGACGGGCTATGATTGGGCGCCTTTTGCCGTCTGTGCAGCGGTTGAGAAGGAAGGTGGGAGGGGCATTCTGAGGGCTGCCGGGGGCGAGAGCTAGGCGCTGGAGCAGGCGAGAGGAGACGGCGGGGACTAGAGAGGTCACAGCGCCAAGGTGTCGGAGCGAGGATAGCCGCGGCCGGGTCCTGAGGTGTTCGAGACGGCCGAGGCGGGTGAGTGCCGGGTGGCCTGCGCGGGACCAGCTCGGCCCTCTCCCCGCCACCGGGGCCTGCCCTAG